AGAAGGGAGTGATACCTGGCCCTTGGTGTCTCCAAGGGCACAAGGTACACCAAGACCAGGAGGGTCTTGGTCTTCGCTGCAGCAAGCCAGCTGTAGAGGAAAGGGGGCTGAGATCTTGATCAGCCCCTAGCAGCAACTGTTCTAGGGTCTGCTGTGTGAGCAGACCCTCACCACTGTAGAGCAGCCCCCTAAGCAGGGGGGTCTTCTGTTCTAGCACCAGCTGCCACGTGGCAGGGCAGATGGCCACGTACCCAGCCAACAGCAGCCAACGGCGGGGGGGGGGGGGGCGGGGTAAATAGCCAGCACGGCACCTCTTTAATACGAGTGTGTCGTGCTACAATGCCATGCACACATTGCGGCGAGCGTGTTATGAGGCTGCTTACGCTCGTGCATGGGGCAGCAGGTGCCTGGGTTCAAACCCCAGCAGCAGCAAACATCCTGGATCTTTGAATAAAGTCATCTGGGGCGGGGTAGCATGGGCGCGTGGCGCGCATGTGCTCGTGCTGGCACCTCCCTTTTTTGCACAACGCAGCTCCCCACGCAAGACTCCAACGCACATACTCCAAATTTGCTAGTGAAGAATGCCCCTGAAAACAGACAATGATTGGGGTATACCCTAGCGGACTGACGGGATTGGACTGGACTGGCTGGTACCGACAGAGGTACCGGCCTGGACTGGCCTACCCCGAATACAACACAGGCCTGTGAGAACAGGCCAAGGGGCTGGTCTCACAGGCCAACCCGAGGTCCGCTACAATCTTTTCGCTTTCGACGGGAATATGCGCCCATCATTTCACTCCAAAAAGGCCTCGCCGCGCCAATCGCCAAGTGTGAAAGCGACAAAAAAACTATGGCGGGTGTGTCTTTCAGCGTTCCAGCGGGAGATGCGTTCTCCATTTTGGCAAATTTTTGTGACTACCGTCTTCCCCCAAACACAATGCACCCTCATTTTGTCTGTATCTGGCCGGAAATACTTGTATACGTTCATTTTAAGGGTGTGTTATGTTCGGGGAAGACGGTCGAAGCGCGGGGAGGAAAAAAAAAAAAAAAAAAAGT